TCGTCCGTCCGGTGTCAATCTCCGCTCCACTACACTTTCCTCCGAACCTCCGAACCTATCCAGAATCCCTTCGGAATATCACAAGTATGCGGATGTCTTTGATAAGGGCAAAGCTGGACAGCTCCCTCCCCATCGTCCCTATGATCTGAAGATCAAATTGGAAGAAGGAGCGGCTCTGCCCCTTGGCACCATCTATTCCCTTTCTCTGGTTGAGCTTGTAGCTCTTCGCAAATTCCTTGATGAGAATATTGCGACCGGACTTCTTCGTTCCTCATCCTCTCCGCATGGAGCCCCTGTCCTGTTTGTTGACCTCTGGTCCGCTCACCATCTAGTCCGGATGGCGGAAGGAGACGAGTGGAAAACTGCTTTCCGGACGCGCTACAGCTCGTATGAATGGTTGGTTATGCCGGAGGGTCTCACCAATGCTCCGGCGGCTTTCCAGCGCTTTGTCAATACCATCTTTGCCGATATGCTTGACATCTGTGTTATTGTGTACCTCAATGACATCCTCATCTATTCCGCAGATCTTGCATCCCATAAGCAACACGTCCTTGCAGTCCTCCGACGCCTCTGGAAGCATCGTCTATATGCTAAACCGGAGAAGTGCGAATTCCATTCCAACTCCGTAGAATACCTCAGCTACCTCCTATCTCCGGCCGGACTTACAATGTCCTCAGACAAAGTCCAGACTATCTGCGACTGGCCAGAACCTTGGAAAGTCAAGGATATTCAATTGTTCCTCGGATTCGCTAATTTCTATTGTCGTTTCATCTTTAACTACTCGGATATTATTGTGGTTCCGCTTATGTGGCTCACCCGCAAGGATGCTCCCTGGAATTTCTCCGAGGATTGCCGGAAATCTTTCGAAACTCTCAAAAAAGCCTTTACTACGGCTCCGGTGCTTATGCACTGGATGCCGGATGTTCCTATCATTGTTGAGACAGATGCTTCTGATTATGCCATCGCCGGAATACTTTCTATCGTATGTCCGGACCAGGAGCTCTGCCCAGTTGCCTTTTACTCCCAGACCCTTTGTTATGACAAGGTGTGTCGTGTTCCACCAGAGGGGACAGCGTAGTTCACTGTAACACCCTTTCAGCTCCAGAACTCAACTATGACACTCATGATAAGGAACTTTTAGCTATCTACGAAGCTTTCCGATCCTGGCGACACTACCTTGAAGGCTCTGCCGAGCTGATAGACGTCGTCACGGATCACAAAAACCTTGAGTACTTCGCTACCACAAAACTCCTCACCCGCCGACAAGCCTGCTGGTCGGAATATCTTCATCAGTTTAACCTTGTTATCCGGTTCCGACCCGGAAAACTCGGAGCAAAGCCCGACTGCCTAACTAGACATTGGGACATCTACCCCAAAGAGGGGGATAAGGACTACGCTCAAGTTAATCTACACAACCTCCGGCTGATATTTACCACAGAACAGCTCGCTTTGTCCCTCCGGGCATCACACCTAGCAATTCCAGTGCTCCGGACAGCTGTACTGATGGATGTCGAGCAGCTTCATAAGGACATTCTGTCCGCCCTCCCTAATGACCCTATCGCTTCCAGTCATCTTCCGGGTCTGTCGGACCCGAGATGGACAGTGGACAAGAGTGGTTTCCTCCATTGCGACAACCGTATATATGTTCCAGAATCCAATGACCTCCGTCTCCGAGTGCTCCGGAATACGCACGACCACCCGCTATCCGGACATTTCGGTCAGAACTGGACCCTGGAAATTATCCGTCAAGAATATACTTGGCCTGGAATCCGCGCATATGAGAAGGACTATGTCAAGTCCTGTACAACCTGCGCCCGAGCCAAAGTTCCGAGGCACAAACCATACAGATTGTTGAAACAACTTCCCATCCCCGAGAAGCCGTGGAATTCTATATCCATGGACTTCATCGAACAACTCCCTGATTCCTCCAGCTTCACCGCTATCCTGGTAGTCATAGATCGACTATCCAAGCAATCCATATTCATTCCGACCTACGACACCATCACCTCTCCAGACCTCACCCGGTTATTCCTCCTCCATGTGTTTTCCAAACACGGAGTTTCGTCCCATGTTACTTCCGATCGCGGTACGGAATTCATATCCCACTTCTTCCGGTCACTCGGAAAAGCATTAGATATGGTCCTTCATTTCACCTCCGGATATCATCTGGAAGGTGACGGACAAACCGAGCGAGCTAACCAAACTCTAGAACAATACCTCCGGATCTACTGCAACTATCAGCAGGATAATTGGTCGGAACTGTTACCCTTGGCTGAGTTTGCATACAATAACTCTCCGAGTGCTACCACCGGAGTTTCCCCATTCTTTGCCAATAAGGGTTATCACCCAAACATTTCCATACATCCGGAGCGTGATCTTTCCTCCGCCCGTGCCTGGGATTACGCTATAGATTTAGATGAGCTTCACCAATTCCTCCAAGAAGAAATGTCCTATGCCCAAGAACGATATCAAGGACCCGCGGATGCTAGACGGAAACCCACTCTGGACTTCAAGGTCGGAGATCAGGTCTTTGTCAAAGCAATATATTTCCGCTCGACCCGACCATCGAAAAAGCTCTCGGAAAAGAATCTCGGTCCATTCGACATCATCGCTCGTCCTGGCACTCATTCTTTCACCATCCATCTTCCGGACGCTATGCGGTCCGTACATCCCGTCTTCCATGTCTCTCAATTAGAACCTGCAACTCCGAATACCATTCCCAATTGCATCCAACCTCCTCCGCCTCCGGTCTTAGTCGACGGAGAACTGGAATACGAAATCTCCGAAATCCTGGACTCCAAGATCGACCGCCGGAGACGTCACTGCCAATTGCTATACTTAGTATGTTGGGCCGGATACGAGGGAACAGATGAAGAAACTTCCTGGATACTCGCAACCAAACTCGGAAATGCGCCGGAACTTCTGTCGGATTTCCACTTGGCATATCCGGATAAGCCGGGACCAACTTCTAACACAGAGTAAAAAGGACATGCATATATGTACATTATTTAGGCATCCAACATCTGGACTTCGGATCTGACTACCTAAGAGTCCATCTCCATATCTCTGCCGGATCCGCCGGCCTCCTTTTCCGCCTCCTCAGCATTTTCCTCCTCTGGAGCATCCTCTACATGCATCCGGAAACCGCCCCTCAGACTCTCCATGAAGAGAGTCTAAAACTCCCTCTGCTCCTCCATGAACCGGAGCATGGTCTCACTCACCCGGTCCATCGCAGCTCTACTTCCCTCCGCCACTGCAATACCCCTCTCCATCAGCCCATTCGTCTGGGCCAGTTCCGCCACAATATTGTTGGTGGCTGCGACCCAGGCCTGGTCGTCGTACTCCGTCCAGTCTTGCCCTTCCCCAATAACCGTCCCGGGACTGGAGATAATCTCCATGTCGTCGTCAAGGTCCTCTGGACTCTGCTGATGTCTTTTGCCTTTGCCCCTGGGGCTCGGAGATCCCTCCGGACGCGCACGTTTCTTGCCTTTTCCTTTGCCAGCCGGCGCCTTGACAGGCGTATTTCCGCCGACGCACTTCTCCTTGGACGCACGGCACTGGTCGCAAGTCCGGATTTTTCGGAACCATCAGTAATCATCCGGATCCGGACAAAACAATAAACTCACCCTAGGCATCTTAGATGCTACTGCCCAGGTACAAATCTTGCGTCTGATGATGCACATCTCACACGCGACCTCCGGATCCGCCGGACCGGAAGACTGACATCCTGTCAAACTCCGGAAATCACAAAACAACTCATCCGACTCACTACCGATGCATTATCCGCCCTAGCCTTGGCCAAACGCTCGCGCTCAGCCAACCTTTTCTGAGTCTCCTCAATATCTTTCCGCTTCTGTTCTTCCATCCGTTTCCGTTCCTCTTCCGCCTCCTTGCGCTTGCGCTCTTCTTCCTCCGCCTCTCTCTGAGCGTCCACCTCGAGCCGCGTGATTTCGGCGACCATTTCCGCCTGCCTCTCTTCGAGGAGTTGCCGGGCGGACTTCTTGTTGCCGGAAGTGGAGTTAGACATGTTAAAGCAGTAATAGGAGTTAGGGGGAAAGTTTTAAATGTTTCCTGGGCGTTCCGGCCTACTTATATGCTTCAGTGCTATTTTTACGAGCTCTGCCCATCATCTCGCATTCATAAAACTCTGGACCGGACTTCTGAATCAGAAGCCTCGTGGGCTCGGCCCTAAGGGGGGGATACTGTCATATCCCGTGTTCCGGACCCGGACCTATCACACACATCATTTCCGGAAGTCCAGATCCGGCCGACGTATATCCATGTCCAGATCCGACCTGTGTCTAACTTCCGTGCCTTATCCCTTTGTACGTTCCTACTCCAGTTGGACTATATCATTTTCCGTACCTCATTTCATTTCCGCCTTTATTTTCATCTGTTCTAATCTCTGGGTTCATTTACTATTTTCCGATAGACTAGTGTTTGACTTTTCTATACGCTCCATCCACAGCTTTGTATAGCTTTGGACTGCGCGTCTCTGTTCTCCGATAAGTCCTTAGTAGTATATAAACCCTGTAGAATCTATGTACATCCTTAGTTCGAATATCATCTTAGACTCTGCTCATTCCCTCCTCCGTCCGACTTGAGTTTCTCTCTCATCAGCCTCTGCTCGTCTTAGGATCGATTCCTATAGACTTGTCACCTCCGCCTCTACCTCTGGTAGTCCTCTGCTGTTTCTTTTCTAGTTCGGACTTCGTCCGGATTAGTCTTATCTCTTGTTCCCGAACGTCCGCCGGAATTCCTGTGCATCGGACATCGGACTCCGGACATCGCCCAACACCCTCCGGACATCGCCCAACACCCTCCGGACATCGTCCGGTAACCTTCAGACATCGTTCGACAGCCCTCGGAAGTTAGGGGCACGTACTCGGGTAAGGGGCACAGCGCACAAGCTGAAGCCAAGCCCTTCGGATCTGACCTTTGAGCACGTTTTTAACAGTTCTGCACGACTCAGAGCGAACTTTCTCGTTCATTCGCCCATAATGGACGACGACGACATAATATCTGATGGACCACCTCGCTCAAAAACACCTAGGGAATCAACTGGACCCCGGTTCACTGTTCAGTGGCACAACGACCATGGACTTACTGACGTGCTAGTGAATTATCTGAGTACTCACCCTGCCGATTGCAGGATTTTGTTTTATTCAGATGGAAAAAAGTCCATGGCTGCTACTGGTGCTGATAGCCCCTTGGGCTCAGACAGGCAAATTTACGGTGGTCTCGCCAAGATCATCTTTACAGATCACCCCAAGTACGGTGCCGCATATTCATCTAATCCCAAAAAATTCTGCGATGCTGTTGGCAGTCACATCACCACGCAAGTCCTTTTGTTTTTTTTGTTCTACTAATAAAAATACTAAATTTTATGCAGTCTCAGGAACAAATACAAGAAGGTCAAAGCGTCATTTGGCAGCACGGGCGCTGGGGTGATGCCAACTGAAGGGAGTCAGGCAAAGAACCTGTTGGGTGAGTCCTCAGTCTCGATTACTTGGTTATTGGCTGATCGATTGCTGTAGATGCAGCACTTTTGGAGCTGCTGTGGTACAAGGATCTTGATACCATCTGGCACTCCAATCCTTCGATGGCTGCGACCACACACTCGTCAAAACCGGGCGTTGATCACGCTGGTGCCCTGTATTCCCTTGTTCAGTCGAATAGCGGGGCCGGTTCCTCTACATACTTCGGCGCCACTCAGCAGCCATTGCATCCCCCCAACATTCAGCCATCGCATCCCTCCAACATTCAGCTATTGCATCCCCCAAACTTATCATATCCTGTGCCCCTGCACTATGCCCCCCATGTACCTCCTAACGCGAATATACTTGCTGGCGGCCAGTATCCACCAGTGGTGCTGCAACAACCCCCTCCTGCTTCATCCTATCCCCCTCCCAAAGTCCATCTTCCCGGCCTTCCATCAGATGATGATGATGCCGAAAATAATTTTTCATTTGATAGGTGCCTGGGGGATCCTGCCGAGGACGATGACATGATACTCGATGACACTTCCCCAGTTGCGGGGAAGAAGTGTCAGCTCCCCTCAACACCATCTCCTCCTCCCAATGTTCCAGAACCATTCGAGGTACCAGCAAAAACTCCAGCATTGGCATACAACAGCTGTTCGGTGTTTAGGGCGCAGAAGCCCTCAAGCCATGGGAGCTGATGCAGACTGCCATTGGAGATGTCGCGCAGCGCATCGACACCATCATTGACGACGCACAACACTACCTCGTCATCGGACTTCCACATGTCTCTGACACCTGAGACCTCCCTTCCAAATAGTGCTGGCAGCTCAAAGAAGAAGAAGGCGAAGTCGGATGTGTCACAGCAGGTGGGACAGGTGAGAGACGAGATTGAGAGCATGCACTCGGATGTGATGTCGCGCCATGACAGCAAACACCTTTGCTTCCTCACAAAGCTCGAGGTTAAAAGCGAGCATAGTTGCGACACTAAAAAGTATGAGTGGCTTCGTTCCAGCCACGAGCACGAAGCCTCCCAAGCCACTGTCACCCATCAGCGCATGCAAGAGGTGAAAGCCACCGAGATTCGCCTTCGTGAGACGGACATTTGCATCCACCAAGCACATTCAGAAGTACTCAACAAGGAAGCGGAGACTCTGCGACTCAAGATTCAATTCCACCAAATGATGCAGGCCAGCAATGTGGCATTAGATGGAGGAGTTGGGTGAGTTGTCTCATTGTCTTTGTCATCATCATCTCATTGTCTCCATTTGTTGCTTGTTGTCTCTATTTGTTGCTCATCGTCTCCGTTTGTTGTTGCTCGTTGTCTCTTACTTGTTGATGTTGTCACTATGCTTACATTTGTGTTATTGTTACTATGCCCTTTGTTGTTACTGTCATTGTTATGTTTGTTTTCTTTTGCTGTACAGGTATATTGGTAGTAGTACATATCTAATCAAGCACTATTGTTGTCATCCTTCCCTATGGTGTGCATTTGAGTGAGGACTGTCAAAGAGTGCATCCATCAGCCTTGCTCTAGCAGCTTGTCCTGGAGTGCCCTCATAAGTCCTGTCCCCAACAACTTCTTCACCATCTGGATACTCAACCTCTTGGTCAATGCAATCTTCCCCCTCTTCACAAGCCCACTTTAGAGAGCTCTCATATGTCCCATCTCTCTTGTGATGCTTGATTTCAAAGCGAATAATCATGTTGTGCAGGATGATACAACACTTGATCCACTGCACAGTGAACTCAAGGTCTTTCTCAGCCTGAATTCTGAACCGGAGCTCTCAAAGGGACTGGAACCGTCCCTTCAAAACAGCAAATGTGTGTTCAACACGAACATGGATCTAAAAAAATTCAATTTACTGAAATATAAACCTCAAAAAAAAAACCTTAGAGAGATGATAATTAAAGGACTTCTGGTCCTTTGTCAACCTCCCATTGCGAGGCTTCTTAAAAGGAGCAATACACCATGGCTCCAATGGGTATGCACTGTCTGCCCAAACCCAATGACCATCAGGGAGAAGGTCAGCATGCTCTTCATAAAGATGAGTAGATCGAAAAGCAAATGCATCGTGGACACTCCCAGGATGACCCAGAGAATAATCAACAACGAGAAGATTATGCGGTAAAATGACTGCCTAGAATTAAATTAATTTTTGCACATGAAGATTTAAAAAAAAATACCTGACAGCCAAGAGAATATTTGGATTTCCTATCATAAAATGTCTCACTGAAGTAACCAGGTTTGGTAAAAAGATTCATAGTTGAGCCATCAATTGCTAGAAAGCCACCCTTCCACTCTGGGCAGGTATGTGACTCGGCAAATTTGCGAGCCAGGTCAGCATCCTCAGAATTATCCGCTGGGAAGCAGATAAACTGATCGTGAGCATCAAGCACCGCAATCATCACACGATTAGTGCAATTAACCACAGACCCAACACTCACGCCTGCCCATTGAGCGACATCTTCAAGAGTAATAGCATTTCCATAGTGGCCGGCTCGATTCAAAAAAATGGCAAGTTGAATGGAGACAGGGAGCTGAGGATTGTTGGACTGATTTTGGAAGATGGGATGATCAGAGATAAAATCGAGGATGTCATCGAAGATCTCGGGGTTAACGTGGAGTTTCTGCCAAAACAAGTGAGGGCGGTGTTCTTTGTGATGAACCAACATGTGAAGCTGAGGTGCTCATGGGGGAGGCTCATCAGGCTTATGGAGTACACGAGCCCTCTTAACCTTATCACATAGAGCATTAATGGTGTCATGGAGACGGTCGTAAGGCAAGGCGATGTAGGGATTCATTTCTGGCTGGGCTTGTAGAGACTGTTTTTACCTTACCTTATGTTGGCACTTTTGTAGCTTACATAAGCAAGTTACCTTTTCACCAGTTACCAGTATGAGTCTGAGTCTGGAGCAGTTTTTATGACATTTCCTCTCCTCTGAGCCTTGAGCCTGGTCCAGAAACCCTTTAGGGTCGAATAGCAGCTAGGTTCTGCAAGACCCAACATTGTTCAGACTCACCATCTGAATTGTTGTACCTTCAGCGATGTCATCAGAAGAGATAGAACCATCACTGGAAGAATCTGAAGTCCCTGTCATAGGGGAGAGGGGGGAGGGGGGGGGGAAGGTGAACTAAAAGATAGATTGATTGAATTATCATCCGAAGTAGTAGAAAGTGAGTCCTCGGAGTCAGAATCACTCTCAAAGTCAGACCAATCGTCCAGGATATCCTGGTACTGTAGCTTGGCCAGGGAAAGTTCAGCCTGATCTACAATAGCCAGGAGTTCTTTATGGGTGGATAGTTGAGGCATGGTCACAATTGGGGCAGGAGTTGAGGGAATCAAAACTCCTATCCATTTGTGTATATGTTATGTAGTTTGTGGTGGAGTTTGAAATTTCGGAAAGTTCCAAAGTTTCGTCTCGCAGTGAGCATGTTGGTGTCATCGTTGACCTCACCCTCCAGCCTCAATGCTTACCCACAGCACTGAGCAGGACATCAAGTTGTCAGGTGTCACCAACCCAAGGTAAGTACTTTTTGTGCCTCCTGTAAGTTCCAGCTAACATATTCACCCTTATCTTACAGGAAATCTATTCTAGTGCTGGTCCCACACATGACCAACAGCAGCTCATTTTTACTGCCAAGCCGCTGGTTCCTCACTACCCCCTACACCTTCTACACTCCCCTTCTTGAGGGATCGACTCTGTGCTCATTCCAATCCAGCTGGCTCAAGGCATGCTTAGGTTTACACAACCCCTTATGCCTGATGCAGTCTTTCAACCGCCCCAACCTGTACTATGCTGCAGTACAGCCTAAACCGTCCACGAAAAAGAAGGTGGTTCAAGCCATTGCTGTTTTCATCAAGTCACAGCATGCTACCCATACTGGCATTGTACACGGCTTCTCGAAGTCGGAGTGTGAGGAACTTGCTGAGCAACTGTGAAACAACTATGGCTTATCTGCCAAACATTACCACGCCGGTATGGGCCCACAAGAGCGCAGCACCACTCAAGATCCATTATCCACTCAACTTGAGGCTCAAGGTGTGGCAGCATCCTGGAAAGCAGCTCGAAGGTAGCCATACTCTCCACAACTATAATGTCGTCTTTCACTTTACCTTACATCTCTGCAGATTCATGCAGATCTTTTTCATGTATCCTCCTCCCCTCAGCACTTATTTAGTCCCTCTGGCATTCACTACCTACAGCTGATTTCATTCTCATGTGGACTCCCTTTTTTATGAATGTTAACATTCGAAATATGATGTATATCTACTATGGGTTGCTTTTTTTACTTGATGTACGACTTCCCCCTATGAACATACACTTTGAAAAATCACAAGTGTTTGAATCTCCGACTTCATGCCAATGTGCGCTGAGCATGTTTTGAGCGAGTTGAAACCAACTTTAACCGAGAGTTCAAAGTGTGTTAAGTGTGTTAAGCATGTTAAGCGAGTTTTCAAAACCTTCCAAAACCTATTTTGAGTATCACTTATATATACTTTTATGTGGTGTGGTATATTATACTTTTAGTGTGTTTGAAATGCTGCTCATAAATGTATTTTCAAAATCCACTATCAAGGCATGATCTTATTCAAAATATATAATTTATTAGGATGCAGCCTGAGGCCAGGAAGCCAAAGGAGGGCACAGCCCTCCTTGGCTTCCTGTGACAAAGAAACAATGTTTATCAGAAGCCTTTAGAATTATTGGGATGCAGCTGAGGCCAGGAAGCTAAAAAAAGAGTGTGAAGCACTCTTTTTTGCTTCCTGTGCCAAAGGCAGAATGGGTGTGGACTAGTACTATCTTCTTGCAATGTGGTAATATGTCTAAACACCCACTGCAGTTTCTCTCTGGCATTGCGCATCCTGGGATCAAAGGTGGTGATAGCTCATTGATCTATGCCTGTCGCTTCCTCCAACTCCTGCATGATCGCAACAGAGTCCTTGTGTCATGAGTACCTCATATGAACCACTATTCTTTTCTGAACTCTAAGTCGTTTAAGCGCTCGACTAAAGCACCTGTACCTAATAATGTATTTACGGTTGAAGATGTTCCCACATCAGAGCCTGTGTTTGCGTCTATTTTAGAATCACCCGGACTACCCATGATTGAGTCACGTGACTTATCAGAAGATGCCGGTCTTGATGACCTCACACCATGTGATTCTCTTGGAATGTTCCAGAGCCTGTCAGTTGCTACAGCATGAATCATGACATCATAGTTATATATAGAATCATACAACATCTTTTATTATTCTGATTGGTAGTTAGTTTGAACTCAGTTTCAGTCTCCGACTTAATATATGTATATAGGTAGCTAGTTTGTAGTCGGTAGTTCTTTAGTTCAAACCTCTCATCTGTACATTACTTGTACCAGCCTAGATGTACCTGCTCAATACTATCTTCTTTTGTTTGGTTTATCTTGTGCTTCAAGTCCTAGTCTCTGCCCAGTGTTAATTTGTTATTGGGTTGTGACACTTTGTGGTTAGGAGTGTGATCACCAAGATGAGGAGTCCAATCCTTCTGATAAAATATAATGACATTGGGAGTGAGGAATTCTTGAACCGTCCATCCGCATGTGTTCCAAGTGCTCCTTGCCAGCGCATCAGGCTTTGACGAAGGTGGAACATCCAAGAGGTATATGACCATGAGCGCAGAGTGGTGATACCAGACAAACATGGAGTTGACTGATTCTTGAAGCTTAACATTGTTGATCTTATCGATGCAGCATGTATCGCTCCATGCCCAGTGGTATCCCAAATCACGAGCAGTTTTGCAGAAGGACTGCAACTTCTTGATGCTACCAACAGGATCCAACCTATAGATGACCTTGCCCTGGATATCCTGCAGCAGTGGCTTCTTCCCTTCTCACCTGTGCGATAGCATGGCATATTGGAAGTACTTCTTCACCACTTCCTTAATGTGCTTCACCTGGATATCTTGATAGGTAATTGTTGATGACAAGAGTTCCATGTACTCTATGCTCAATTTGAAGGTGCATATCTGCGCCTCTCTTTTGCACAGGAGTCCCGTGATGGTGTCGAGTACGTGCAGTGAAGGATTATCAAGTTGAGCATCAATGACTTGTTGAATAACACAGTCTGCTTCGGATGGACTAAGATACTGCTGGCACAACTCTGCAGAAAAAATTAAAGTATGTTAAAGTATGGTGTATGTGGGCTTACTTTGTGTCTCAGTGTCTGGAGCATTATCCAATTTTTATATTATGATTTGGAAGGCCACAGTAGCTTCATCATAGTGTTGTGCGCCATGAAACGCTGCATGCTTCAACTGTATCCCATATGAGACAAATGGTTGAGTTGGATGACCTGTGCATCACCAAAGTTAGCTATTAGTTACAAAATGGCCCAAGTAGGTGCCATCATACCTTCTGTGCATCCAGAAGTACATCCATCCATAGCATTTTCCCCAACTTTGCCTTGCTGCAATTTTCAAATATGACATCAGTCGCAGAATCCAGGCCAATAGCCACTGAGTATAGTTCAATAGCCATATCATAATCATTTGTAGTGAGGGCAGTATCTCCGCAAGTGAGACAGAGAGTGCTGCATTCTTCCCTGAAAGCTGAGTCAAATGTTGATTAGGATTGTAGCCCACACTACATCAGGAACTCCAGACTTACCATTGGACCAGCCAAGGAAGTCGGCCTCTTTATATTTGTCACTCCAAACCATCATGGCTTGGTACAATTTCACGGTCTATCTGCCCGACAGAGTGCATCACACCATTTCCAGTGTGCAGTGAGCCACAATGATTTGAGATCCCAGCTGAAGAGCTGGATGAGACACTCAGTTATGAAAAGCATTAGATATGCATCTTCTTAACACCCCACAACCAAGTCTTCATATATTAAATGAATGTCCGATTTTGGTGAGAGAGCGCTGGAGTTGATAGCAACAGTGAAGTGTTCCACTTCTATGTTCATCTAGTACCGCCATATACTGAGCTCAGCCGCCTTACCATTGTCTACCTATGCGATGTTCCTCCATCATCCCAGCCCAGTGCTCTGGCAAAGAGCCCTTGGAACAATCACCGAGGATGAACCTTTCAAGAATTTGCCACTCTGAAAGTTGCTATCGCTAAGTTTATCAGAAGGATTGTTACACCTCGTCGATGACACTTCCAACCACAAAGTGTCCCCTGAAATCATGGAGGATACAATGGGGATAGATACACAAGCACTGGTGATCTTTCAAGTCCAGGGATGAGCGTCTCCCAAGAGAAATTATACTGTGCATCGAAGTGTATAACCACTGTGGGCACTTGGAAGACATTGTGAACTTGTTGTTTGGCATCTTTGGCATTGCCCTACCTGTCATCTAGAAGAAGCAATATGTGCTTGGGTGGCTCTTGCCAGTGATCGTGGCTCAGGCGGGTGACATTTAGGCTTGTGACCAGCCTAGGGATCCACACGGGTATGGGTAACCCGCACGGGAGTGCCATGACAAGATTGCTTGCGCATCCTACACGAAGCTCATGACAAACTCAGACACAAAGGTTTCTACGCTACTCGATGAACGATAGTGGACCATTTTTGGTGGCCATCCCTGGACCACAACCTTCAATGATACCTTAAGATCTGTCACCAGTGTCAAACTCGTTCCATTGCAAAAGTTGTCCTTCCTCCTACTGTCAACATGCCAGCATCTCTCTTCCAGAAGACATATACAGATACTATGTTTATGCCAGCATCGCACGGATACGACCGCATAGTCCAGGCTCATTGTTCATTGTCAGCCTGGCCAGAGTGGCACATGTTGAGAACAGAAACGGCACGAACTCTAGATGCATTCTTATTTGAAGAGATATTGTGTAGATGGGGAGTGATTGAAGAGATCATGACGGATAATGAGATGCCGTTCATAGCAGCGGTGGACTGGTTGGCAAAGAAGTATGGGATCCATCACATTCACGTATCAGCTTATAACTCCCAAGCAAACAGAGTCATTGAACGCTCACATCGTACCATCCAGGATTCCCTTGTTAAAGCATGTGACGGTGATATCACACAATGGCCGAAAATTGTGCCACATGTGTTCTGGGCAGATCGTGTCACTACACGAAAATCTACCAGACACTCCCCATATTATCTTGCTCATGGCATAGAACCCTTGCTTCCCCTCAATCTTGTCGAGGCTACATTCATGCTTCCTGACATTTCTGTACTAATACCAACCTCGGATCTTATCAGTTCATGCGCTCGACAACTCTTAAAACAGGACAAGAACCTTGCCCTTGCTCATGAACGACTCGTTAACAGTCATCTCACATCTCTCAACAACTTCAATAAATGTTTTGCCAGCACAACTATAACTTTCCTCCCAGTGCTCTAGTCCTCATTCTCAATAAAGAAATTGAAGCCGCATCTAATGCAAAGTGTAGACCACACTATTTTGGACCCATGATCATTGTTTCATGATCGCAGGGAGGTTCTTACCTAGGGATCCACACGGGTACGGGTACAAGTACGACTTAGTGGTACCCGTTGTAGAGACTTGCGCCTCTCAATGCCTGACATACGGCCCTATGAACCATGTTCCAGCTCTTATCCGAAGGATCAGTCATACGCACTCCTGCGCGCGCGCCTTATACGCACTCCCGTGCTTCCACATGCGTCCATGCGCCTCCCCTTAGGTCATTGCGCGCCTACCCATCCGTCCGTCTGTCCTATGTCCTCACTGATTTACTGGTGCGTTATTCTTATCTCTTTCACTGAATTGACGTACACTCGGTCCAATCCCCACGCTTACATACAGAAATTCTATCTTAGACTTTAGATTATATTTAGAGTTGATATGGTTACTCGGTTCAGTACCACGCTCGGAAGCGCCGTATAGCGCTATCTCCCTTCTTAAATAGAGGGAAGTTCTTTTTACTTCGGTTACTACTTTTCCCCTGTTTATCTCAGTATACTCCAAGTTGTATAGTGCACCTTAGTACTTGAAATCAGATTATACTCTCTATCTGCTACAGCTCGCGCCTCCTCTATACTTGAAACCACATCCCTTATCGCTCATAAGTGCGCTTCCGCATATGCGCGTGCCCCTCGCATCTTGCGTGCCCTCGCATCGCTCACGCACGCCTTCGTATCGCTTATGCGCACATTATCTTCTCGCGCCTCCCAGCACCCGTCTAGTTGACAGAGTTTCCCTCCACCTTATTTGCGAGGAACTTCTCTCAGTAGCTGTCCTTTGGGTTGAGTCGTATTCTCATATCCAGGTCTTGCTGTGTAGAGCCCCCTTCTTTTAGTGTTTTCACCCACAGTCAAGATTCCTCACCTTCACCATACCCCAGGCAGGGGTTTTCACCAAAATGTTCAACAAACAAACTTTAAACTTAAATTAGATAACTTGCCATCTGTCAAACATAAATTGTGATATATGATATATGATATAATACTACCTCACTAGTAACTACCCTGCATGCAAATTTTTGCTCTCAACTTCATCCATCCCTCACCATGTCACAATCCAACTTCTTCGCTGTGACAGCGAGATGGGTAAGTAAGATGACAGGCAAAGCAAAGGCTGCTTTGGAAGAGAAGACCATGTGGACCTCATTGAAGAAACGTAAACCTGAAGCGAGTGGAGAAACCATTAATCCTCTGCCAAAGAAGGCAAAAACCAACCGACCTGCTGATACCACTCCCCCTGGAATGACAGTGTCGCTGCCATTGACATCACCAATACCAGTAACATCTGTTACACCAACCCCCCCTCTGACTGACAAAAGTCATTGTGCAGTTGTTTGCACGGAGGAGGAGGAAGAAGCTTTGTATGCAGACAGAAGTGATGCTGACCCAAAAGAGAGTGACAAGGAATCGCAAAGCGGAGAGAAAGAACAGGATCCACAAGACAAACTAAGTACATTAATAAATCTGTAAATCAACATTAATCTAATGCAACATCATTAGAACATCTCATGCAAGAGTGGGTCTCACCGGTCTATGCCTTCTTTCATCCAACACCAAACATTGTCGAAATTGGAGGATGGCGGGCACATGAATTCAAATGTCAGGCGAAAGGATGTAAGGCGAAAGTCTGACATTTCCTGGATAAGGGTGATGCCCGTTCCACTGGAAACATGCGAAAACATATTCAAGCATGTTGGGGAGAGGATGTTTTGCAAGCCGCCAGCCAGGTCAAAGATGCTAATGAAGTTCGCCAAAAAATTGTCAGCAGCTTCCTGCACAATGGGTCAATTATGGCCTCGCCTTGATCGCATCAAGAGTACCTTCTGACTCAATTGATAGGGCTGAACTTGTCCGTTGGGTCCTGTCACAACCCAATAACGAATTAACGCTGGGCAGAGACTAGGACTCAAACAACAAGATAATCACAAAGAAGATAAGGCAGCAGGTACGTCTCGGATTGCTCACTAGGAGATACAAGAGGTTTGAACTAAAGAACTACTGACTACAAGACACTACCTATATACACATATTGTAACTGAGATTGAAACTGAGTCTGAACTAACTACCAATCAAATAATAAGATGATATCGTACGATTCTATATATAACTATGATGTCATGACATGTGCCGCAGCAACCGTAAGGTTCTGGAACATTCTGTCAGGGTCGTTTGGAATAAAGTTTAGTCCGGCATACTCCGATAAATCACGTGACTCGTTCATAGGTTCTTTAGGTAACTCTACAATAGACGCCGTTGTTGGGACATCTTCAACTATAAATACTTTCTTAGTAACAGGCGCTGTGACTGGGCGCTTAAAGGACTTAGAATTTAGGAACGTATAATGGTTCGTATTTGGAACTCGTGACAGGTCCCCGAAAGCCTGCGTCCGTTCGAAATCGTCGAAGACAAAGGGTTTCAGTCACTCATGAAGACAGGACGGCCAGAATACTACATACCGTCTTCTTCTACTGTCGCTAGGGATGTTTGAATGGTTTTTGCACGGACACGAGAGCAGATAGCTAGGATGATCAAGGTAAGTTTTCCCTGAAGTCAAAAACATACAAAATAACATGCACATACCAGGGATACCCAGGAAAAGTCAATTTTACTACTGATGGCTGGACATCGCCCAACCACAGAGCATTTGTTGCAGTTTCGGTCCACCTCGAACTCAATGGTGAGCCACTAACATTGCCATTAGATATTATTGAGGTCGCAAAGGTGCATAGTCACTTACAATGTATTTACAAATTGTTCGGCTGATTGAATCACAGTTGCACACAGGAGAGGAACTCGCACAAACATTTGCAGACATTCTGGAGGAGTATGGGATATCAGAGAAAGTTAGTCAATTGTTGGGTTGAGGATTGTCACTCACCAGCAGGACGCACATTCAGATACTCAGCATCACATGTGATAATGCCTCGAATAACACGGTGATGGTTGAAAAGCTGGCCAAGATGCTCCCGTCGTTTCCTGGAGCCCCAAATCATACTCAATGTTTCTTGCATATGGTGAACCTCATCACTAAGTTGTTGATAAGGGAATTCGACATGACGAAGAAAGATGCCAATCAGGCGCTTGAGGAGGAAATATCTGATCCAGAGGATGATTTCAATGAGGCGAGTGCTGAAACTGAAGATGTGATTCCCGAAGAATATGGGGGTGCTGGGGATGACGATAATGATGAGGGATGGGTGGACAAAGTAAGTTTGCTGCCAGAGCGGGAGAGGAATGAGCTGCAGCGAGAGATTCATCCTGTAAAGTTAGTATTAGTGAAGGTGAGTGAAAAAAGACAATGCGCACCTTTGAAATTGACATGCCAGAATCTAGCTGTGCAAGCTTGCTTACAAACTCATTCACTCGACTACTGTACTCCTCCCCACATGGCACAAAGCACTGCGTGCATCTGGCCAGTCCATTAGCAATATGCCACGGATGTCGCTACCCGGTGGAATTCAACCTTTGACATGTTGAAATATGTGCTGGACCATTGGGATGCAATCGATGTTGTAACACAAAGCCGAGGCTTAGGTTTGTGCAAGTTTGAACTCACTGACATCAAATGGGAGATAGCGCAGCAGCTTTGTGATTCCCGGAACCAGAAATATTGTGCCTCTATTTGTGCAGCTGTGCATCTTGCCAAGAAAACTCTGAACCGCTACTACGAGTTTACCGATAAATCTGAAGTATATTGTATAGCAATGGGTGCGTGTTTTCTTTTCACTTTCTTGCTTCCTTCACTAATCATAAAATAGTTTTGCATCCACAGCATAAACTATCATACTTCAAGAACGCTGGATGGGCAGAAGAGTGGATCACCACTGCCGAAACCCTGGTGCGCGAGGAATTTGAATGCTCTTACTCAACCCTGGACATTGAGAACGATGTGGACACCAAGATGGATGTTGATTCTTCCATGGTACACTCTATTTCATTGTTTTTTTACTTGCTAATGTCATGTTGTTCCTAGAGCAAGAATATCTTTGATCATATACCAGCTCTCGCACCACCCAAATCTACTGACCTCTGTGACGAGGTAGATCATTACCTTAGTACTGATGTGGAGCGTGCCGACAATGCAATCACATGGTGGCATGAACGTCGTGGCTCCTTTCCTCGTCTCTCCCGCATGGCTCTCGATTATTTGACTATCCCCAGTAAGCTCTGTTGCTCTTATGGTTATTCAGTGCCCTAATTATTAGATAGCAACTTCAGTGGATGTTGAACAGCTATTCAGCCAAGGTCGGCTTTTGCTTTCTCATGTTTGCTCACAGCTCATGGCTCAGTCAATGTGCGCTCTTCTTTGCCTTGGTTTATGGAGCAAACTCAACTTAATCAAGAACGAGGATGTTTTGAAGGTGACTTGTTTGCCTGATGTTAAAGATGATGAAGAGGAGCTCGACAAAGGCTGGGACCGCATTATCATTGAGTAGGATAGGTACTACTACACCATGTCATAGTTCACTGCATTATTCTACTTGTACCCGTGGGTATACCCTTGATGGGTCATACCCCAGGTCTCATACCCTCATACCTGTCACAAAAACTGTACTCACTGTAACGAGACAACAATTGCTGAACACTTCTCGAAGTAAGTAATCAGCAATATAAAATGTTGTGGTCTTGCGCGGCCTAGTCTGCTATACTTGTATACAAGTGCATTCAACCCAAGGGGTTAGCTATCTGGTATTAGTCTGTAAGTAGTGGAATGTCAAGTGATCAAAAGTTCGAGCATGGGAAACAAAGTCCGAAGGTATAATCATGAGTCCGACGCCAAAGCATCGGGTCCATTGTTTTCAGGTTAGCGGACTAGCGGGTTTCGGGTGCGGGTTCAGTGGATTACGGAGAATGGCAATAGCAAGTGTCGGGAAAGCAAGTGGTATGCGGAATATCGATAAAGACGGGTGTTTTTCAGATAGAAAGAGCGGTAATATTCACAATGTCAACTAAGAACTACGAAATATCGGGTTTGACCACAAAGTGTCGGGGAACGGCTCCCCACTACTTGGATAATGAATAATGCTCGAGGTCAGTCCAATATATATGTAAGTACGTAGAAATGCGGAACCCATAGGTGAAAGTAGCAGCGGAATATTTCAGATCCGCAGTACATGTAAATAAACACGAGGCACTGCAGACTATGGGAAAACATGTAATAGCGCTGGCTACGACATGAGTAATGTGCGAAATAATCAACTACGCACCTAGTGGGGCTAGCAAGACAAGACAGGACACGGATAGGACAAGTGCGCAGGAAAATATCAGGTCCACTGCAGCCAAAACGTCGGATCCGCTAGTCAAAGTGTCAGATTGAGTGGGAAGTGATTATTGTGCAACAGGCATTGAACATGAATCGTGAATCAGCTGAATACGAGTCTAGCGTGAGCTTGAGTGCTACACCGCTATTGGGGTATGGGTATATCTATGGGTATGGGTACAGGTACAACCTCTGGCACCCAGGGGTATACCTGTGCAGATCCCTAGACCAGCCTGGCATATATTACCACGGTTGCACAAGTGGTGTAGCCAGGCTGGTTGATCTCAGAGTAGCATGGCAGGGCAAAGTGAGGAGTTTGAAATTTGATAGGTGCCAGTTGTGCCAGAGGTAGTTCCAATCATATAGCACAAGTTATGCAATGTGCATCTGCTCAGAAATTGCACAAGCACCTTGCTTCGAAAGAAACCTTCTCTCTAAGTTGCCATGGAGGGTCTTTCATACAACATGAGGTCCATGACTGTCATCTGCAATCTACGAAGTATTTTGAAGACAGCAAGAATTTTTCCTTCTTCGTCAAGGCTGGAAAGATTGATCAAGGTTCAGGCTGCTGATACATCATCACAGGTGGGTATAACACATGAAATGGAATCATTTTGATTGTCCTAAACAATGATTAGTGCTCCGGCACGATGTACTTGAGAAGATACTGTACTTTTCACGGTACGAATGAAAGAGTTTGCGTTATCGACAAGTGATGTTACCCAAGGCAGCATACCGGCATCTGCCAAATTTCAAATTCCTCGCTTCGCCTGCCAAATCACTCCGAGTTCGACCAGTCTGACTACGTCAATAAATTCTCACCATCTCAAATTGACGCATAGTCAGACTGGTTACGAGTCTAGAGGAGCCCCCCATTTTGGGAAAATGGGGCAGATTCACACACGGGACAAGCACCCAGTATACGAGGCGCATCATATGCAAGCCATGCTACATGCCTCAATTTAAGAACGGAGAGTAAACGACTGCAATGTCACAATAGAGCGCCTCCCTAGCATCGGTTTTCTTGACCAGACTCGTGCGACGCCATCGGTCATCAGTCATCAGCCTTGTACATATGAAGGTGACCTATCGACTGGCGTCTCGCATGAGCACTTGAACTAATTGGATCAGGCCTTGAAGCTTGTACCCTATCAGGAAGTCTGTCATTCGGTATGTCTAGGCTTATTATTATATGTTCCTCACCGTGCTGTCCAAGTTCGTCTCCGAGATCGAACCACTTCCTCTGGTAGAGGATAAAATACGACATGCTCCTCAGAGAATGCGTGCTTCGATGCGGACATCATGATAGATCTATAACTCACATGGTTAGTCTTCTACCAGCAAGACCTGCAAAGCGGAAAAGTTGTTCAGAATATCTGGTCACACACAGTTATGCGAATGAATGCATGGCGTACGATTAATTGTATACAAATATATGCGATGGCGTGGGCTCAGTCCACGTTATCTACTCTCCAACGAGTCTCCCTCTTCTTCCAACTGTATGGTCAACTCTTCAAGCCCCGAAATTCTGCTCCGCAGAAGGGTGTGCACGCGTTCGCGCACACCATCAGTGTCAGGATGTCTGTGCGATGAAAGCGCGAGCTGAATGTGGATCGAACCGATGACGCTTGCCGAGTCTTTAGGCCAGAACTGAGGGGATGAGTAAGAGGCGACGCCATCCACGAGGGCAAGCTATCACGCGAAACGGGTGGTCAGGGTAATTAGATTAAGAGAACTATGTAATACCTCAGAGAGAGCTTGTTGAACTTCTTTCTCGCGGGTCCCCATATCAAGGCTTAGGACCCTACCCGTGTCGATGACCAGCGGTATGACACTTGCTGCGATCATGACCGCGATGAACAACGATGCTATGGGATCGAATATGGTCCATCCATAGAACTGGATGAGGAGGGTCGAGATAATGACACCGACAGAACCGAGCGTGTCCTGTGAAGATCCATCAATACCAGCGTAAAAATACATGACATATGCTCACCGCCATAACGTGCAAGAAAACGCCACGCATGTTGTCACTGTGTCCTTCGTGATGGTGCCCGTGTTCATGTTCGTGGCAGTGATCATGATTATGATCATGATTGCGCGGGCTGTGTTCCGAAGACTCCATCCCGTGGTGGTAGTGATGATGATGGTCATGCTTTAAAGTGCTAGGGTAGCTGGGTGAAATTGGCGAGTCTGCGCCAATGGGGGAAGACAGGGGAAATGGAATGGCAGATGCGACTTGGGCGCCATCAGTGGGTATATGGAGGGAAGGACCTCGAGAGTGAGGCTTGCGGCCACGCATTGAAGAGCCCTCGTGATCCATGGGCAAAGGGGAAGGGGGAGGGTGCGTATGTGCATGATCAGAGTGTGAATGCGAGTCTGAATGAGAATGAGAGTCATGGTCCGAGCAGGGAGATGTGTGATTTGAAGAGTGCCGATGTGAGGAGTGGTTATTTGCATGAGAGTCTTCGTGGGACTGCAGATGTTCACTGAGCTTGGAAATCGCGGGACCATGCAAATGAGCAGCGACCGAGTGACTGTCATTTTCGTGGGCATGGTCACCATGAGTATGCCCATTATATGATTGGTGCTGATGTGCATGTCCGTGACTATGAGAGTGACCCTGTGGCGTTGAGGTTAGAACGAGACAAACCAGTGGAAATATATTAACGAACGTGATGGTGATGAACACCCATGGCATACATGCCAAACAAATTAACACCAAGTCCGAGGGAGCTGATTAATAACAACTGGTTCGTCGTCATTTCCGGAGGGTCCAATCTACAGAGAGTTGACATTTACTAGATCATAACTCGCGACCAATCAGGAACGTACATTCGTTGTATAGCTTCAAAGACGATGAAAACAGATATTAGGATGAGGAATATTCCATTAGCAAATCCTGACAAAGTTTCGATTCGGCCGTATCTGGAGAAGGACTGAATCACTGTGCGGCAGCTTGATATAAGGTATGCACTTACCCGTACGTGAACCTTTCATCTGGAGGCCACTTTGCCATAATTGAGGCTAGTAAGCCGACACCAATAGCCATGCAATCAAAGGCCATATGGATAGCTTGAAAGGGAGTCATCAGCACGTAAAAACCCTGTCATTTTTCGACTCACCGTCAGAGATGAGACCTAAGCTATTTGTCCAAATACCATATAGCATCTGGACTAGCATGAAGGCCAGATTCAACACGAGAAAATAGAATATCTTTCTCGACTCAGGGTCCGAAAGTATCGAGTTCAAATAGAACCGTATAACTTTCGACATTGGAGTACGCGATGGGCCAGATAGTGTAGGATCATTGTCAGGATATATCGCTATATAAAAGGAGGTAAGAACTAGATACCACCAGCATGCGGAATGAATGCTGACAATAATAGAGCATCACCCCCACTAGTAAATCGGTCGAATGTGGGTGCTGTGAAAACCCAAGGAAGCCCATGGCAGTTGCAACAAGGAAGGCGATCGGGTAGGAGACCAAGAACATTTGAGAGGTCTGGGTAGCGTTAAATTGCATGCCAATTGTGTCCGGCGTTAAAAATATCATGGTATATGCCAGAATTGGAAGGACTGCCAAGGAGGTTAGAGGAACGATGGGTGTCGGCGGAAAGTCGAGCTAAATTGATAGAGTGAGGTCATAACAGAAGACCTGAATGTGAACTACATACGAGGGCTTTTCTGAAGGCGTACAACGGGAGTCCAACAAGCGCCGCACCGAGTGTACTGACAGCAGTTGTCAATGTGGGGTTCACAGTTGGAGCCAGGACACCACGAAGATGCTCAAGAGCATAAGTGGATATGCCATGCATAACTAAAGCTCCATAACCAGGAGCAATAATGGAGACGCTGCGTTTAGACAAAAACATATCAGAAGCAAATGAAATCAAAAACGACGAGAAAGTCAGGCTAGGCTTCCACATCTGAAAGGCCTCATGAATAAAACGTTTTGATTGTGTAGAGCAGACTGACCGAAGCGGGGGCTATAAAGGAGTCCACCCACATTGCGGAGAAATGACTGAACAACAATACCCTATATATAAATGAGTCCCGATAACTCCGTGGTTCATTGTCAAGAAACAGCATACCTTGGAGAGGGAAGACGATACAATGCTGTAAATAGGGCTGCTTGCTGCACGAAGAGTAGCAATGACGACACGCCAATTGCTGTCCACTGAGCGTGATCAAGGGTCAAGACAGAAAGTGCTAGATTCTTATATGCGTACCTCTATATTGCCATTCTTCATAAGCTTCCCCGTAAAAGCTTCCCATGTTAGCATACCCAAACCGCCACAAGCCAACACCCTCATAAGCACCCAGAACACTCCCACATCATATGAAAGAAGTAGCTCTTTTGCTGCATAGAGCGACAGCACGAAGATGACATTGGAGGGTAGTATGATTGGTATGAGTCTATTGCTGATTCTGGAATAACTTTCAGGAGTGAGATATCGACACGCGTACTAATCAACTTACGATCCAGTCAACACTCTGGCCGGTTTCAAGCTGATTTTTCGACGTGTTCGGGCATCTGGGGGAGACATCCCAAGGCCAGCGTAAAAGAGCGTGAATATTTTAATAAGTATCAAACAGTTCAACGAAACTCTTTAGTTACTTAGTTTGTTCTTGCATATAATGCTACATAATAGAATTGGCAAATCAAGAAGGACTTTCCCACGATATTTACTTAGTTTGTTCATGTTTGGTCTTCCATATCATATATTGGAAGATTTTATTTGTTTTGCACTCAAGTTCAACGTCGATTACGGTGAGTCCAAGTTCAAAATTATATTTCTCTGGGATGAGCCCTTTAGATGACGAGTCTGAATCCTGCTAGCGTGCGGTTTCCTCACGACAGCATCCATGACGAGTCTTTCAAAATTTACCATTCATGCATATCTGACATTTTTCGTTTTTCTTGTCGATTTCTTGTAGATGCACCTCGCTGACGAAAACTTATTCCAGATTCTACTATCACAATGCCCTCTATTGTCGATGATGATTGGTCTGATTCTGATGATGAGATTGGTGCAGAAGTAGAGACGGCAGTTTTGCTAGGCGTCCCTGATGGCATAATGGAGACAGAGACTGATATCAAAGATGCTGCGGTTTCTCGTATTGGCGGGCATCCTGTACGAGCATGTCTCTTCGATCATGTACGATCAGCTTGTCAATGCAGTTTACTTGATTTTTTTCAAGGCAATACTGCCTTCGAGGGAACCGCCATTTTCCTCATCTCAATGCAAGATCTGTTCGTACCCCATGGAATTGCTTGTACAAGTCTGGTGCCCAGTCGAAGACAGTCCTATGGATAGAGCATTGTACATCTGGGGATGTTCCCGGAGTGCATGTCAGCGAAAGGACGGAAGGTAGGTCTGTACCATTCCATGAAAAAATGGATCATCATTATCTGTGAACTCTGAAATAGCGTTCGTGCTTGGCGTGCTCTGAGACACAACGCAGAGTATGCAGCAAAGCTTGCAAAAAAGTTGGCGAAGAAGCAAGCACAGCAGAAGGCTTCTTCATCTGTAAAGACTGCACCTGCAACTAATCCGTTCGCAGTTGAGTCAAACTTGTGTGATATGTGTACAGTCACTTATTCGACAGCTAGATGCAGGCAAAATCTACTCCTGGTCCCTTTGGATTGGGTGATCACGTATTTGGACAGCCAGCTCCCACAGTCGCCGCCCCCGCAATTGAAGACGAGCCAGAGGACACGTGTGATACGGAAAGCGTCACGTCCGAGTCTTCTGCACATTCATTAATTATTGCGATGGCATCAACAACGATTGATGATTCACCATGGCAAGCCGCTCCATCATTTCCTCCTCTGTACCTCTCAACGACCTCGGAGTATTTGCCTCCCCCGCCCAAAACCAAAATTTCTCAGAGTGCCCACATAGAGGATCCTCCTGATGAGTATCCTAAGGACGGAAAAGATGTAAGCTGGGCATTCGAACCATACGAGAATTCCTTGGAGGTGGACGGTGTATTCGATCGGTTCACGAAGCGAGTGAGCCACACAGGAGAGCAATGTCTCAGGTTAGCCTACACTCGGTTTTTCTATCCGATCATCTGATATTTTGAGTGTAGATATGAACTGAAAGGGATCCCCCTGCCTTTTTCTTCGGACAAAGTGTTCGACAGGTTATTCCCTTTCCCTCCTCAGGACCCTCTTCCAGTGACGAAGGCTGCTTTCAAAGTCATCCCTACCGTTAGACGTTCATACAGCACCACATCAATACCTCCCTGCCCAACGTGCAAAGCGGCGCGCGTCTTCGAATGTCAATTGATGCCCAACCTGATCAACGTCCTCCGGGCCTCAGTCAAGGATGAAGACACGCAGAAGTTGACAGACGAACAAAGGATGAAGGTGGTACAGGAAGTGCTGCAGAAAAAGCTTTCGTCTGATAAGCGAGGTATGGAGTGGGGCACTTGCATGATTTTTTCGTGTGAGAAGGACTGCTGCCTTGATGACTACAGTGGTGACAAGGAATGTTGGAGAGAAGAGCTTGTTCTCGTTCAGTGGGACGACTAAATTTAACAAATATTGTATATCCGTGGTCTTGATTACTTTGCAACATATGCATTGATTGATCCTACTTGTCGCCGGGTCGTTGAGGACCATAATTGAATCAATGATCATGATGTTTAAGCGTGATGGGAATAACGTTATTTGTTTTCTTGTTCGTTGTTTCATAATATTGCTCTTATATGGACCCTATCGTTGTTGACTTGCAGCACGTCCCCGGACGCAGAGATTAGCTTCATCTCACTCTTCGCTTTCGGACTTTTCTTGCTTTGTGTCCCTAATCATTCACTTTGACGCCCTCTAGCGATGCCGCAGACGCTAACTCTACCTCCCGCTGTTATCTTTGAGCCTGACGATGTATCTGAATCTGGTTCAGTATTAACCAGTCAACGATTTCCCCACACCCGTGCCCAATTATTAGCTATAATCCGTCAGCAGAAGGGCGGTGCAGACGGCATTGATGGAGATGGAGACGTAGAGGAATCAATCCGCATCAGCACCTCTTTTGTGACCAAAGTAGCAGGATTTCTTGCTAATGAGCAAGAGGATGAACTTAAAGAATCATTGAAGACTACTTGTGGAGTAGAAGACGACATGGTTAGCTCGTGAAATGCCTGACCTTGCCCCTTTTTTCTGATCTTTCGTCTTCCAGCTCGAACAACATGTCTTAGATTTGATGCATAGACACCACGACGATGTAGCAGGCGTGCCTTTCCTTTTCTTGACTCCAACAAGACGACCATCTCGACCCTCTTCTCGCGCTTCCACCCACTCTGCTGCTCGGTTCATCCCCAACAGACCAGATACCCCCACCTCAGTACCCAACTCTCCTCTTGCTATCGGTTTTCGTAGGCCACATACACCTGCTGGTTCCCCTCTTGTAACTGGAAACGCAACCTCATACATGACTGCACGTAGTGTTTCACCAATGAACTCACCAACACTCGCGCATGCACAAGCACAAGTACATCCTCAGTTCACTTCGAGCCTTCCATCATCGCCAATATCCTCTCCTCGACTTTTGAGTGCAAAAGCAACCGAATTCAAGCCCATTCCCCGGCCCCTATCTGCAGCTGCAGCTTCTTCCGCCTCCGGAACCCTTTCTGGATATAGAACCGAGACACCATCTCCTGACCCGTGGTCCCATAGTCAGCTCAGAGCAACTTCTAACCTTGCCATCGCCGCGCCGTTGGTGCCGGGCGATACTTTACAGCCCCGGGCTGTAACTCCAAGCTCCCTCCGCTCGTCTCTTAGGCCAGGGGAGGACGACGAAGAGGACGACCCATTCGATCCCTTCGCGCCCAACACAGCATCCAACTCCTTCCATCCAATTACAATCACTGACTTTGACCAGTGGATGGATAGTGCCTCAATCTCACCCGATGATCCACTTACACAAAGTTACTACCAGCATGCTTATGATTATGACCCACAGTTCGATGGAACAGTCGATGACGCAGAGGGGACAGGGTACTTGACAGATGGAATGACACCTCTTGATGTCCTTAGCTCGGTGTTCGGATCCACCCTTGCGCCATCCGAGCTTGAAGATGCACTTTCTCAGAACGGCTATGATTTTGACCGTGCTATGGCATGGCTTGTTGATCGCGCTCTGCCTTCTCCACCTCAGCACAGCCAACCTCGTATGCGGTCCATGGGAGGACGAGTGACATTAGTGGCTAGGGATAGTAGCGCAGGGGTAGTTCATGGGGGACGCGGAGACTTCCAAGCCGCCCGAGGTTCTACCAGAGGCAACGGACGACCCGTTTCCGGCGGAAATAGGGTTTGCCGCTATTACCTTGCGGGTGAATGCTTGCGAGCCGATTGCCGCTTCAGGTTTGTTGGTTCTTGTTCTTTTGGGTTATGTCCACCTCATCTTCATTCGCAGTCACGATCTAGAGAGAGCGCTCTGCCGGTTCTGGTTGCGTGGGACCTGTGCCAAACAGGATCAATGTGAATTTTTGCATCACCTTCCCAAAGACGTTGATGTAGCCAGTGTGACTGGTGCATTGTCACGGACTAGTCTCAGCAATTCCAGTACCCGCACTACAAGCCCTCCACCTGATGAGTTTCCAGCTCTAGGACCTGATACTTCTCGTAATCGGAGAGGTTACGGCGCCCGTGGTGGCCATTGGCAACACGATCCCGGTCGCACGAGATTCGCAGCAGCCGTAAAGAGACCAGCTCCTACTCCAGTGCAGGTGGACCGCACAACGGCCACTCGTTCGTCAATCTCATCGAATGCATCTGTGGATAACTTGCACATCCGCACCTCGATTGTGGCGCCAAAGCCATCGCCTCGCATCAAGTTACGTCCCCCGGCGCTATTGCCCACGCTACCCACCGGGGAATCAATCAATGCTTTATATATGTCTTATCGATCTCGAGCACTGCAACTGGGTGCTGCTCGGAATGCGTGCTTATCTCGGGCTGCCGATGCATGGAGACGCGGCGATGGTGCCGCAGCCAAACGATTTAGCAGGGAGGGTCACGATCTCAATGCTAAAATGGGCAATGAGATGACGACAGCGGCTAGTAAACTTGTCAGAGAACGTGCAAAAGTTGCCGAACAAGCTGTGAAGAGCCGAGATCTTGGCTGGTCTGATGATGCCGGAGATCGAACTGCGCGTGGCCGAACCTGTGGAGGAGGTTTGGGAGTATGTCTAGGCATAGCCAGCACCACCACAGGCGGTGATTCGAAATTAACGTCAGAAGAGAGAACCGAATGTATGCTTGATCTTCACGGCTTACATTCGAACGAGGCAACAGACGTTCTCGAAGAATTTTTGCTTGCTGTGAGTACTCCATGCATCAGTCAAATGATCGTTTAATCAAATCAATCTTAGCTCGAGCGGGAACATTTCCTTGGTCTCGGTAGGTGTTCTTTTGCGGAGCTAGTAACTTAACTCATTTTTATGTTTTAGCTTTCCTTATTGTTGGAGAAGAAAAGCACACAGGAACACAGGACGCAGCACGTGGTGCCTCGCGGGCTCGGCTCGCTTCGGGCGTGCGAGAATGGCTTCATCGGTGGGGTTATCCTTGGAGCGAGCGCGATGGCATCATATGTGTAGATGCTCTTACTCACGGTTGAGGACGCGGTTGGTGCAATGTCCACACTACCGGAGGCGGGAGAATGACTCTTTGGCTAAGACTGGTATTTGCTTTGAAATGGAATACTGTGAAGGATAATGTGTTATTGAGCAGATCTATTGAAGGTTGTATGATTGTACAAACAGGGGCAAAAAATGTGATTTTATCTTTTCCCATCTTATGTCGTGTTATACCATTCCATCGGATACTTACTACTTGAAATTGCCTGAACTCCCTAACGATGTGCTTTGCGGTGCCTGTGCGGATAGTTTATACTTATCCCTCATTTTTAATTGATCGAGTCTAGAGTCACTACGCCTGCCGAAGCCAAGAGCCTTTCTACGCTGATGGTGAGTCTATTCCACTGTTAACCAGACGACAAGAGCTGAACTTGAAGACGGTCGCCAAGATGCTGGCTTTGTGCACTGAGCGATCTTGTGTAGGAATCACTTTGCCTGCTAAGTGATATCACATCGGAATCAAGCGCGCTCCCTTCCCACCTGGTGCACATGTTGGAGTCTCGTTACATGAGTCGCGTACTAGTCTATCCGTCACGCAAACGGAGCCATACGTCAGAAACGATCATCCGCGATGTGGAGTCCCAGTATTTTTGATGCGTGGTCAGACCGCATGAGCGGTATTTGCTACGCCCTCTCGGGACCCGAATAGCCCTTTGCATTTGACTGAGATCGTGACATATGAAGACTCGGAGGATGCACTGAAGTGGGGTAGGTGAGTGCATTTTCTTTTGGTTTACAATGCACTCATCCTGCATGACTCACTCTCGTAGGAATGAGATCTTATACATTGTTCCCTGACTTCCTTGTGCGTTTCTCTTATTTCATGATAAAAATGTTTGCTTCCTGTCTACTTTCCAACTTACTCATAATTTATTTTTACCTAGGAATGTGCTAACTTTTCTTTGAAGTGTATAGACACTAAGCTCGAATCCTTCGAGTCTTATCCTACTCCGAGGCGACCCAAATGTTCTAGTGGAGCCTATTGGAGCTTTACATGTCACCCTGACATCAGTTAGTTCCATCCACACGCCTCCAACCAATGACGCCCACTTTTGACTTCCTAGGACGCACAATTAGAACATTCCGGGCATCGGCCTCCATCACATTTGAATAAGATCGTTGCGATGTACATGATACTTATTGCGACACCCCCCGGCGCAGCACCAGATGAGCGACTCGCTTTGGAACGTTCATTTCATTGTCCATACGCCCAAGCGATCACCGCACTGGCACCTTCTGCCAGATGCCAAGCTACTGGTGTCCGAGAAAATATTTGATTCGGTTAGGCCGAGATGGTTATTGGGACACTTGCATAGCCTGTCAAAGATCATCCAGAGCGAGGCCAGGTATGACAGGTACGCCCGTACACTTACTCACTACACTTCTTTCTGAATCTCGAATGGAGTTCCGCGCGAAAGAATGGTATTGGGAGCTCTGTTCACATGGACTTTCATTGCAGCCTCCACCAGGTATCTTCCAATGATGTCAAGGTCCTCGTCCTCATCATTATTCGCCTTATCAATCTCAAATTAATATTCCTGAGGAGTATTACTTCGAACCTCTTCGAATTCGATCCTAGCTAAACGGTCTTACGATCTCACTATTTTGATGTGATGAGATCAATTAGTACTGTGGTCATTGATCGCTTTCAACTTTGATAGTCACCCTCGACCAAGAAACCAACGTTGATTAATTTGTTGGTTTCCTGCTCAGCATAATAAAAACTATTTTCACGGTCACCACGATCGGTGATATATTTACGTCAGGAGTCGAAGCAGTGCGGGGATACGCCGAGGAAGGCTAAGCCTACGGTAGACAGATGTGATAAAGCGTGCGCGCGAATGGCTGTACATCCAAGACTCTCCAGGACTGTGCAACGGCGTCCCTAGCAGACTGACGACAAGCTGTACTCCCCAGTGCAAAACATGACACTCGACGACAATGCATGGTCATTTTCACAGCCACTATCCATAAAAGGCAGGCGTAGTGAAACCCCTTCCCTGACAGTACTACGCGACGTGGCTGCCACCATTCCGAGCCTAACTTGCTACTGGTCCACATGCCAACATAAGCCCTAGCTCACACTTTTAACGATTGACCACGAGTACGTTCCATTAGCCATGGCTACTCACGAGCAAGAACACGACGAACCACCTCGCCCTTTTTCCATCGATCTCAGCTTAGAACTCGAGCGCCAACTCGACAATGAATCAAACCCGAACTCGCCCGTAGATGCCACAGGACGTCCTCATTCCCTGGATTCGCATGTCCTTGCTTCAATCGTCACTCAACTGAGATTGTCACTCGCAGATGTTACACGAGAGCGAGATGAGCTCTCAAAAACAGTTGTTGAAATGCGGACTCGCGAGGCAGGAACTGCGGACATGCTTGAGCATATGACGGAAAAATGCTCGAAGATGCAGGAGGAACTGGATGGTGCTCGTACAAGGATTAAGGATGACGAAGACACGATATCCATACTCAGGACGAAAGTCGAGGAAAGCAGGTTTGTTTCACACCCGTATTGTCTGCACAACGTGCCACTCACAGTGCTTCCCAGGCGTGGCCTCATGCGTCTACAGTCTGAAAATCGACGGGCGAGTCAAGTACCCTCAGCTCTTGACTTGTCTAGAGCGGGTATTCCTTCCTTCAATGGCCCACCGTCCTCTAAGCGTGCATCATTAATTGGATCCACGACTGGGCGTAACAATACCCATAAACGAATATCATCAGTCTCCGACAACGCCCTCGACAGCTCTCATTTAGCATCCCCTATTCCCACTCCAACTCCCGCGACTTTCACCCTTCCTGATGTGCAGAAAAGCAGGTCCCAACAGCCTTCCCACACGAGGAGGATGTCTGGCATGCTCGGTCGTGGGTCACCACCGCAGTCTCTTTTCCCTTCGGAAGAGTCTGCCGAGTTGGAAATGCTGCGCCGGGAACTCAATGCTGTGAAGGCTGAACTTGACGACGTGAAGCATGAGCTGAGTGAAACAAATGAAGCTCGCGAAGCATCAGACACTTGCATCAAAGCTCTACGGGAATTCATTGAAGAGAACCAGGTTGGAGCTGTGCCAAAGGGTCTTCCCCCTTTGCCTGCAGAGGTGAAAAAACCATCACCACCACCACCACCACCAGCTGCTGCTGCTGGGTGGGGATTTAAACTCTGGCGAGCAGATTCTTTGACGCAGAGTCCTGTGTTGGCCTCTCCATCTCCCGCCGCACCCGCCACCCACGCTGTATCACCATCCTTATCATCGCTGACGCCCCCTGTTCCTCTCTCCAAAAAACTGGGCGACTTCTTCGGTACTCGTGCCCCGGCAGTTGCTGCTTCTAAAACGTCACAGCGTGTTGAACAAGAGCCAGTGTACAATGGCATGTCTGATACGTCATCCATCGAGGATTCTGTAGTCGAGCCCATCAGCCCCGCAAGCGAGCGTCCTCGGCCAACTGTATACGTACGAGATGCCACTAGCGTGACATCCGAGTCATCACGCGATCTTGGCAATCTCGAGGGAAAGCTACTTCCCCCAGGTGCCGATGGAACCCTATCCCCTGTTGTCATTTGATTAGTGTACTATAGGCGTTTCTGATTTGGCTCTTCATGGGCCCTCCCTACTAGACATTCGAATTCGTTTTCTAACCTCGAACCCAGTTCAGACGGGAATTTTACAGATACACTTTTTCACAAATATAGCATATACCTCTGTAATGTACATGAGCACGAGGGCGGGAAGGGAAGGGAGAACAGACTATCGCTTACATAAATCACTCGGATGTGTCCTACTCACATGGATAAATCATAAATCACTTCGAAATCGTTCCGAACAACGCACTCTGGAGATAGAAGATGTAAAGATAGGCGAGAGTTTCTATTTCGGACCTTTTTCACACGTTGTCTGAATATAAACCAATTGAGCGCAAGGCTTGGCTTTTGAGCGACTTGGTGCCTTGCTGCTAGAAGTCAGAAGCGGACGCATAACGTTCCCTGTCAGCAAGATGCATACGCAGCCTCCGGAAGTATACTAGGCCCAGTGAAGGCAAATGTTCAGTGAAGCCACGCGTTGATTATTTTTATGCAATATCGAATAGGCTGATGGTCCATGCGCACGTTTGATTTGCAAGAGATAGATAGTTACCAACGGAACGTTGGTGGCGTGCAACCTGAGAAGGATGAGAGAACGGTATGTGTACCATGCGGGTATTCTACCACGAACATTAGGGAAATATGAATATGTCAGCAGGATGTTAACATTTCGACGTCAATTCGACTGCTGCGGAATGGTGGCCAGCTTCGCTCGCATGCCCCTCTTCGACCAGCGAATAGGGTTCACTCATGTCAAGCTAGGTTCTGCTGACGCCACTACTAGCAGCAATGGAAGTAACGTTCAGGGTCGCTGTAAACAATGTATATCGGAAAGTACAGACGTACTAGACACAAGTCGGGAAAGACGACTGTTTCAAACATCCACGGAATTCCAGTCTGTCCGAGGCAGCCCCTAGATGTGATATGGCTAGTCTAGGTGGATACTCATCGATGCATCGCAGAGTTTCAACGACTCATGGTCCGCAAATCGTAATCAGCGCCGATGTAAAGGCATGATCGCGGGAGTGATCAGCTGACCGTGACTCGGTACACCACCAGTCAAGGTAATGCACAGTTCAGCGCCATCAACAAGTGCGTCTTCTCAGCGTGATTTGTCAGTAGCGTGTGGCAGTGTTCGAAGTGTCTGTCAGGCTGAGCAAGCTCAGACTCATGGACACCGGAGGGGCGAAGGTGGACATATTGTTTCGGCTTTCAAAAATGAATAGTGAGTATTCCGTAGTTTTCGTGTGCAGATCTACTGTGATCCATAGAGACCGGAGGATAGTTTTATAAGCTCAGTCGAGGCCGTGACCGTGATTTGCGATGATTGACGCACTTGATCCTTTCAAGATACAAGGCAAAGCGTAAAAAATTCTTGCGACGGGGAGAGATTTCTGCTGTTGGAAATTCAAAAGCGGTGAAAAAAGTGAAACAGTACTTCTCATGGACTAGTCTTGGATGCGGATCTTACTGTTATCATACCATATTATGTGAGGATTGTTGAACGCCGGCCATTGTAGAAGAACACGGATGGGATGAATACTCCCCGGGTGCGTTCGGTTCGACCATCGCGGATGAATATTAATGATGGACTTGGACGATTCGAGTGAGATATATGTGCCAACCGCTGATAAGGCATGCAATTTCCCATGCGTATTCAATTATCACGGACTCCGTAGTACGAAGCCGTCCTGGAATTATCACAGTCTCACATCGATAGGACCATAGGCCGCCACTATGTTGTGCCTGAGGTAGAGGTTTTGTCATGAGAATGCCTTGAGGCACAAGGAGAAGCTAGTGAGCAAAATAGACATGAGTTGATTACATTCCAATATGGTGGAAAGGGAAGTAAGCTCAATCGCAATCGTTGATAGTACAAATGTATAGAATGATCGGGAGATATTGTGAGATACGATTTGTTGGCGCTTTTTTGATATGGCTTCTCAGGCTGGCCATAAACAAATTCCGTGAACTCCATTCCGATTAGTTTATGTGGTATACGGGAGGTATGAATGTCACTCACAGTGCCCTCGTATGTGTACGTTGCATTGGTGTTATTTACTGATGCCACGGCGACTGGGGGGTGTCCTTCTCATCTCGTCATCGCTTGTCTGGCGTCTTCCGTGCTTCTTTTCGGACGCTATGAGCGGTGTCCACTGTCAAATGTCCCAGTGCGTGATCTACTCCACGGACGAATTTTGGACGTCTTGCCGGGGTGCAAGGTTTATGAATGTTTGAGAAAGGCCTGGCCCGTCCTTTTAAGCGAGAGATGTTAGCGGTGACACGTCATGAGTGTCAGATAACAGATGCAACATGGGGTAAGTAGAATCATGCTGTGTACCTCGAAGGCTATTCAAGGGCCATGGTTGCAGCAGATGCATTGCATGTCCCGCGCGTGCTCACTGCCCTCCGAGTCGTAGAACAAATGGGAACCGATTATGATGGTTATGGAAGTCACGGAACGGCGGAAAAAAAGGTTTACCCGCAATGAATTGAAGACTTGTGAATGGCGTAGAATGTATGAACGCCTCGTGTTTTTTTCAATCTTGATAGAAGAATGTATTCTGGAAGTAAAATTACTATGAGGGGGGTCACCAATGTCGTACTGTCACTCCGCGTTCGCCTTATGAGGTCAGCGACGTTCAAATACGTCCGTGCCGAGGGGTCGGCAAGGGGGTCTATAGTCCGTTTAATCCACATTTGGAAATTACAGTACAAACCTGATGTAATAATCAGCGCGGAATTTAGTTGGACATAGTTCGCATACTGAATTGAAAACCATCACACTGTGATAATTATGGCCATCTATCTTCTTCTCTCTTGCCATCAGTCTACATAGCCCTTAGGGCCTCCACATGCTATCCTCCCCAGTTTCTCCAAATCGCATGGAGCAAAATCTCTTTGCTGATGCAGCCAAGAAACGCAGAAAAGGCGCTACTCGCCTTTCGTGTGCAGAATGCAGGCGGTAAGCCACAGTAACGTATGCATAATCATTACTCAACTTTTATCGTTTTACAGTCTAAAGTTGCGCTGTGACAGAGCGATTCCTTGTGGCTCATGCGTGAAACGTGGCTGTGGTGCCATCTGTCCAGATGGTACGACTCCAGCTCAGCTCAATTCAAGCCAACAGGCTGATCATCAATCTCATAGGTTCTTTGACAACCGGCCAGGGGAACAGGTAAGCTGTGCATAGTGTTTCAAGTCGAGTACTATCTGATCATGTCTTCTAATAAAGATTCGTTTTGGCATCAACTCAAGAGCTTCACGAGAAAATATCAGAACTCTGTCAACGTGTCCGGGAATTGGAAGATGCTCTTCGACATTCCCACTCTCTAGTGGCTGCAGACAGGCATCCTCTATTAGCTGATGACTTATTGAAAATCAAATCACCTTTGCAGCGCGAGCCCCCAAGTAACAGAAACATGCCTCGATGCGAAGCCAAGGAAGAAGAGCAGAACGGCGAGGTTGTTGACGCTTTTGGTTCCTTATCGATCAATGCTTCTGGTGGTGCAAAATACTTTGGCTCCATTGCCAACTCCTGGGTACGTGAATACTCATTCAACGAGGTTATTGCTACGTCTGATTACGAGTGCTCCAGTATTTCTTACAGGTCTGTCCAAGTGGTCAAACTTACCCCTAATAAATTTCTAAATATCTGCAGAATGAAGCAAACGAAGATCACGAGACTGATGGTGATCGTCTTGCTGCACTTCAAACCGTCCTTCCCCCCGATATTCTCGCACGAAGTGGCGCGTTCCCAATTCTACCCTCATCACACACATCTATTCATGTTGAGAACGTGCGACTAAGAGACCTCTGCTGGTACCTTCCGGAGCACGCCAAAGCTCAAGAGATATGTCAGACCTACTATCGCCTAGGTGCATGGATGTCTGTTCGCTTTCTTCTATCATAGTGAAAATAATTCTGATTTTTCCTCGGAAGGTACACTCCCATAAGCCAACTGTGCTTCTACGAAGATATATATCCCCAATTTTACACCCCCAATGCCGGCCCGCCCTCCGATGATCCCCTTCTATCACACAAATTGTCTCTCGTCTTCATGGTTCTCGCGATCGGTACCCTCATGGATGTACACCAACCAGCCTATAATGTCGAAGCCGAGAAATATCACCAATTAGCTCGGGCTGCGCTATTCCAGAGCTCACTGTTTGAAGATCCGACTATTAATGCCGTTCAAGCTCTTGTAAGCATACCACGAGGAATTTTCGGATCATATCCTACTTACACATACGATTTCAGTTTCTCATGACTTTTTACCTTTTTATGTCGGACCGACATGGTTCCAATTCTGGCGCACGGTGGGCTATTATGGGAATAGCTATCAAAGTGGCGCAAAGTGTAAGCCATACATAGCCAAGGGCCCTGGTTTATTATGCTCACCTGGTCGCTTGGCAGATTGGCCTGCGTACGTAATGTTATCGCACCCCAATGAGGTTTGAGGTACTGACGTTACATTCTCATCCGTTAGACCGAGATCCCAGTCGATGGGGAGTGGATCAAAAGGAGACTCTGCGTCGCAGAGAGCTCTTCTGGGAACTATACACATACGACTCGTGGCAGGTACGCCCCCATTTGGCATCGTGAGTACTGTTGATTACTTATGGGAGAACGATGTTCGCAGTGTCTTACCTTTGGTCGACCGGTATCATTCTACACGGCCCATATGGACTGCAAAATGCCATACTCAACAGATGCGTCAGAGGAAAACATTTGTAAGCTCTTACTCCACGGGGATATTTTCTCTTCGATGACCATTACATCACTTTCCAGTCCATGCTTGGAAACACCGTTTCGCTTCAGAGTGCATGAGTGTTGTTCACGACCAGGCTTTTGGTGCCAAAACACCGACGTATGCCACAGTCCTCCAGCTTGACCGCAAACTCCGTGCCTTCCCTGTTCCCTCAGCGCTGCAGGTTGCCGGTTTTGGCGTCTCCACAGGACCGGCTGACACACATTATTCAGAAAGTGTGATGCTCATGTTGCAACGCCATATCGTATTGGCTATTCGGGAAATGAGTGAGTTATTTTTGCAACCTAACTTTGATGATATCGCGGAACTTGTTTCTTGTTGATATATCGAGGAAGGGCGCGCAGCACATGAGTCTAACAGTGCCTCCTCCATCAGATCTTCTATACCTCCACAGAAGTTTCTTTGCACGTGCCGTAACTGACCATCCAAAAGACCCATTGGGAAGTCCCTATGGTACCTCAGTCATCGCTGCTTATCGCAGTGCGGGCTCGCTCGTTGCCCTCATGCGCAACCTTCATACTCAACTAAAGGAGCCGAGCGAGCGTATCTGGTTCCTTTGGGGTCACCTGTTCTCTTGCGCTGTATGTATCTTGGACCCTCTTGGACCTCTACAAATGGCATTAATCCTCACACATCTTTTTATTTATAGATCGTACTAGGGTCTGTGGTAACCAGATGTCCATCCATGAGTTTAGCCCCTTCGGCGTTGGTGCAATTGGATTCTGCTTGTGAGTTATTCTCGAAGGCGGCTAGGGGTTTCCGTGCACAGTCCGTATTGGTAAGTCCTCTGCATCTATACCCACTATAGGCATGTGTTGTGAATGCTTACTGACGGTTTCCAACAGGAGGTGATGCTCGGCTTGCGCGAGAAAGCTCATCTATGCCTCAATGAGCATCGGAAGGGTAAAGTTTCGCCGCTTACTCGTCAACCATCTGAGCCATACTCGCCGTATGACGACGAAGATGAACTGGCTACGCTCGGAGGGAAGACACGTTTGGTCGCGAAAAAGGATTCACTATCAGCCTCATCCTCGCCCGCGGCAGTCTTTGATCGCTCTCCCACATCTATGAATCCCGTAGTTCCTCTCCCCCTCATTTCAGGAAACGCGCATCAAGCGGTGCATCCGAACGTTCTGGCTTACCTACAGACTTTCCCGACCACAGGACAATCGCATAACACAGGCCCGACATATGTAGATTCATCGGCGTATAGCATGACCCCTGTCAAAGAAAACACGCCTCATTATTCGGAAAATTCGGGATACAGTGACTCTCAGACACCGATGCAGTCCATGGAGCTTGTTGCAGGGCAGTTTCCCAGCTATTTCTCTGTGTTCGATTATGGACTCAGTAGCGAGGCCAATTACTCGCAAATGAACGGGCAAATATCGACAAGTACACGCCGAGAGTCTCCAGAAAATACGATGCACAACACTTGGCAAGAGTTTGTGGCACAAAGCGGTCTCGGGATGGGGTCGTAGTGTTCATGGGCGTCAGACGAAGGAGGAAATTTCACGTCCTGCCTATCGTGACGCTCGGGCGAGTCCACGGGTTGATACCGCCCGCTTCCTGCTTTTTCTGATGAACTATATATATACGATATTACATTGGGGTAAGATGTACATATACTATTAGGTGTCTCGTCTCATATACTGTTTGTCACGATATAGTTGTCCTTCTTGTTCTATAGCATTTGTACTTTTGATATTCTTCTCATTAGCGTTCTTGTATGATATCTCATCATTTCTTGATCACTTGGTGTCATGTGGCCGGAGCATTGTTTAGTCTTGTTTGGCAGTCGAGGGACAACTGTGACCAAGTCGTACACACCGCCACAACTGGGGAAATAACTCTTCATATTTCGATATCACTTCTCTTTTTGAGTCTCATGGTAATCTGTGGGTCCTCCTCGAAGACAGGTTTTGGTCGTCGGCCTGTGAGCCAGTCCTCAATAATTGTGGTTCCAACTAACGTGGATGACAGATACAAAGAAAGGTTGTAGTATGTGGGGATGGTGCTTCCGGTACGTCCTTTTTCTACTTCACTCGACTAAACACTACAACTGTTCTGATAGGCAAAACTTCGTTATTGAATGTCTTCACGAGGGGCTTCTTCACTCAAGTCTAGTGAGCACTCCATCCTATGTCTTGCTTGGCGACTGACTAGCGTCGTAGCGAACCCACCGTCTTCGAGAACTACGTGCATGATATATATGTGGAGGACCAGTTAGTGGAGCTCAGCTTATGGGATACCGCCGGTGAGCAAATGCGAAGATCATGCCTCTGTTTTGTTTCTTGTAACATCTAACATTTGAAGGGCTCATTAGGCCAGGAGGAGTTTGACCGGCTAAGATCGTTAAGCTATGCAGAAACGCATGTCGTCATGATCTGTTTCTCTGTCAGTTGCCAAAGCTCATCATCTATTGGGACAACGAGGCTTATGCTGCCTTCGCAGGTTGACAACCCGACATCATTGGAGAACGTCGAGTCGAAGGTACATGCGCCCCTGCTTCCCATGGTTCCGTCTCAACTGAATTTCTTTGGGCAGTGGATCGATGAAATAATAGAATACTGTCCAGGTGTGAAGGTGTGTGATGATTTTTGCATCTTTCCTGTCGCTCACTAATTCTTGAAATAGCTTGTCCTAGTCGGTCAGTCGTACCTTAACAACCTCACTTTACAACATGATCTGACATACGATAGCCCTTAAATGCGACCTTCGGGACGATCGAACTGTTCGTGATCGACTTGCTCGATATGGGGCTCATACAGTGCAGTATGAGGAGGGTCTTGCAGTCGCACGTCGAATACGAGCATCACGGTATCTTGGTGCCTATCATTCCTTTTTATACCTCGTTGTTCGCGTGAGCTGACTTGATCATCACAGAATGTAGTTCGAAGCACAATAGAGGTGTTTCAGAAGTCTTCTATGAGGCTGCACGCGTGTCTTTGAGCACGCGGGCAAAGGGGTCTGGGTCTGGCTGCGTGATAATGTGATAACAATATCACATCGGATACATATGTTCATACTTCATCTCGGACTAGTCAGAGCTGTGCTCGCATTCATGCTGTATTTTTTTTACATTACTACTCCACTAATAACACGACACTCATTATTTACCAAGCAATGCATGGGATATACGAATCAGTACCCGATGTGTAGTGCAACAGCGAAGCAACATGGGCGATATAGATGATGCATGAATGAAAGATACCACAACAACAAATGGCGTGATCATAACAAGGTGGTGGCACAAAGATTACAACAAAGAAATCGTGAGTTGGTGCTCGAAACATTGCGTCGCCAGCAATTGACGGCGTTGTGAAGTCAGTACTATTCATATATTGAGGGGTGGGACGGAAGTAGGGGAATTGAAAAAGTTGGTGCGCTGCACGGACCCATTGCTTCGCGACTTCATGTTAGGATGGTGGTTGTGATAATGATATTGATGGTGGTGATGGTGAACGGGCCCGTGAGTCTTGCGTTTCAACATCTTCATCTCGCGGCGAGACTCTTTGCGAGTTTTGTGAGGAGGCTGTTGATTATGGGAAGGTTGATTATGTGGCACGTGGGTAGGGGTGCGGTCGCCGTCACGGACGGGAAGAATTACAGGAGATATGACGACCGATCGGTTTTTGCGGGGAGTCGCCTTTGGAGGCGGTCCCTTATCGTGCCAGAGCATGGTGCTGAGAGGACTACTTTTCATGACATTACTGTAGGACAGTACGTCAGATGTGGCGGTCTTTGGAGGTTCGGATGCCCAGCCAGGAGACGAGGGAATATCATTAGAGGATACCGCCGACTCGCGAGTTAAACGGAAAGTACCGACAGGAACTCGGTCCCAGCGACTTAAGCTCTGCAAATGACGATGGAGTTCACCTTCACTCGCTGTACCGTTTCCTAGTGACATCTCCGGCTCAGAGTCGAGATAGGACGAGTCTAGCACATCGTCGAGTTCAATCGGCTCTGCGAGTGAGGGCTCGGGGGTAGTGTGTGATGAGGGTTCATCCGACGATGAAGGAGGGGGTAAGGCAGAAGACGGGGTGAAGATGGTGAGTCGGGATGTACGACCGCGAACGTCCATAATCTGAAATGTCAAGTTAATAGGACAACAAATCGTATCATATAAAATGCGTACGCTACTGAAGCTTCCACCGCTGCTAGAATCAATGCGCCTGCGTCTATGAGCGAGGCGAGGGAAAGGAGAGGGAACATCTTTGTTTGACCCAGTGAGAATGGCCATCTTCTGCGTGACATCGCCGGCTTGTTTAAAGTGTCCCATAATGGGAACGCCGCATTGAGATATTCTCCGAATGGGACAGGGTGCACTTCCTTCACCGCTGTCCGTCTGGGAGTGGTCCGAGTCGTCGCAAAAGACCTTTCTGGCGAGAATGTCGGCGGGTCGAGGGGACTCACGGTGGTACGACGTGATTGATCGGCGATTGTGAGGTGCGGGCGAAACTGTGGGACTGACGGTAAATGATGGATTGATGGAAGACACACTCGTAGGCCAACAGAAGAGCCTCATGGCACGCGACGTTGGTAAGCCGCTGGCGTCGACGAGTTCCTCTTCCGTAGTCTCACCATCACTGGTACCAATCACGGAGTCAACCTCGTCGTCGTCATCATCGCCACGGCCGATTCCCATTTCTGACCCCATCTCCACATCGCTGTCCTGGCTGATGGATGCAGTATCGGAAGCTAACAGTTGGGCAGCAGTGGCCTCAAAGGCAAGGTCCAAAACGCCTTGGCCATCGCCACAGCCATTGGTAAAGACAATCTGACCGTCCCATCCCTCCGTCATCTCAAGGTCCGTACTACGCTGCAGGCTGCTAATGCTACTTGTCATGGCATCTGCCTGAGCATCTTGAGGATCAGTAGGCTCGTCCTCTGACGAGCTGTCATCGGAGTTGGTATCAGAAAGATTGTCGAAAAAAATGTCAGCGTCAAAACTCGACTCTTCGTCGTCCGACCAACCAGTCGCAAGGCCGGTGTAAATGACGCTAGGGGCCTGACCATCTGTCTCCTCATCTCCCTCCTCATCACACAGTTCTTCCTCCTCATCCTCGTCCTCATCCTCTGTATGATCATCACTGTCGCCATCCATGTCGACATCACTGAGACCGACACTTTTTTTGCGCGGGCGAATAACCCAATTATTATTATGCGCATCCTTGCGCCGATGTGGCTCGTCACCTAAAAGCTCGCGACGAACGCGTGCTTTATCATGACGCCTCTGCTCCGCAAGAATATAACTCTCCTCTTCTGCCTCCAAAGAGGAATCAGAATCGAAACTTGATGACTCATTGCCCGAGTCAGAGGAATCGGATGCCGACGAGGGGGACAAATCTGAAGCAGCGACGAAAGTCGGAAACTGTCCAGACTCGATATCGTCGTTGTCTAGATCATCAGTACTTTGATCGCTATGATCAGAAGCGGACCCGCCACTGATTAAGGCCTGCTTCTTCTTCTTGTTCTTCGAACTGGAGATCTTCTTTGGGATTGTGCCTTGGGCCTTAGTGTTTTGGGGAGGCCTCGAGGACTTTAAATTTGTCCTCGGCTGTTGAGCACTCCTGACATTGGAGCGCGGTCCTTTTAATGCACCTGGTTTTTGTGCACGAAGAGATTGCGATGGGAGATGTGATTGTGATTGTGGCAACGTGTTGGCCTCGTTGCCGCGAATTTGCCGGTCTACTGCCGCAGTCTTGGACAGGTTTCGCGCATCGACGATGCCCGTTGATGAACGTCCTTTGCGCTTGTGACTTGTTGGATCTTGAGACGTATGATGGCCATGGCCAGGGGTGCTTGACGAAGCAAGACGCTGAGCCTGTCCGAGGGTAGACACGGCTCCCGATCCCGTAATGTTGGATATCGCAGTGGATACTCCATCCGCGCGAGATTTTTTGCTTTGCGATGTCAGTAAGCGTGCTTTGTTCTGCATACTTGCTGGGACGGTGAACTTGATTTTTAGCGATGGCATTACGGGAACGTGAGCGGTGGATGATGAAGCAACAACAGGACGCGCAAGTCCATTGCTTGCGATCGGTGCAGGCGGGGGACGCGGTTTGTTGTTGCAGGTGCAATCTCCATCGCACACTGGACATATGTCGCTGTCGTCCTCGTCGTCTTGAGAGAGGGAATTTACGGCGGCGCCTGCGGAATGGATGAGGGAAGGAGACATCGCTGGGGGCGATTGTTTTTGATAATCTGAGGTAATATGAGTAAATGTACGTATAAATGAGAGACAAGGAGAGGACAATAGGAGATAAAATGATGATCCACTTGGACTGCCCTCGACATATTCACAGAAGCAAATGGAAAATAATGCAAATACGGAATATTCCTGAGAAGACACGCGCATAAAGCAAGTAGAGATCAGGTCAGCCATGGGTCGGGCTATCATATTACATGTAAAGAGATCAGTACCAAGTATCGACAAGCGATAGCTTGTCGCGTGACAGAACCTTGGCTCAAAAGAACAAGTCCGAATCCGAAATGAGAAGTACTCACTGGAGACACGATTTCTGTGCATCTTTTGACTGCAAATAACATGGATAAGATATAGACTCCAGATTGGCTGTTCTCTGCAGCTTGTTAGTATTCAATACTGGCAGCGGCAATAGGCCACTTTACGACTGTCGCTGGTGACGGTGGTGAAGAAAGAAGAAATATTGCGCTAGATAATTTCGACCTATCAACTTGCCGGTCTCACGGGCGCGTCCGTAACGATTACATAACAACACTCATATTGAAAATGACAACCGTGCCGGACTTTGTCCAGCTGATCATCTTCATTCATGCAGCGTGAGTTCAGGGCTGTGGACTACAACGAAAAGAGACTGAAATTTTCAATGTAACAGGCATCTCTCTCGCGGAACAAATCGCTCAGCTTGAGGATGCCGCACCTGTAGGCAAGCACTACGCCATGGCCGTTCATCATTCACTCTGACTGCGCCGTTTGCAGATTTCGACCCAGAAGATGAGGCCACAGCTCATGATCCGGAAGATAATAATCTTGCGGATGACACCAACCGTGCGCGCGATCACTACATCGACGTCGGGTAAGTTTTGCGTTCAATTTTGCTCCGGTCCGTATCTTCAAGTCCTCGTTAGGCCCTCTGGGTTACGCAAATTGCAAGACAGCATAGCTGACCCAAAATATGATGGCGTAAAGACATCCCGAAAGCAATTGATGGAACATGAAGACAGCGACTATGACAGTGAGGGGGACGACGATAAGACTAGCAGCGAACTGGGGCGCGACGAAGACGAGGAAGAATCAGACAATAATGTTCCATCTTCTCAAAGCGAACTGGAGAGCGAACCAGACGCCCCAACGTCGTTTCCTACAACATTTGCGGCCAAAAGCACGACGTCGTATGAGGAGCCAAAGCACACCGAGAATCTTTCTTCGAGATTGCGCGAAACGCGTGACGAGGACCGCAAAAAAGGGAAGGCTGTTTCGAAGCAAATTGTGCGGTTAATTGTGCTTTTTATGTTGGTTTTACTGATTGCGTTTTAAGGCATTGTGGGACTCGCTACTTGACGCACGTATCCGCCTGCAGAGGGCCGTTGCTGCAGGAAATCGGCTCCCACCGGTTAGCATGCCGATTAATTTCTCAGTACTTCCTCCTCACCTCCACGCAGCTTGCAGATTACGACGATGTCCAGTCATCATTAGTAAAGATGCTGGCAGAGGCACAGCTTCTGTCCGATGAATTATTTCACTTGCAGGATGTACGTTTAATGAATCGCCACCACCTTGTTCCCCCCTTATCAACGTTTGTTCACTTTTCACAGGCCTTACTATCTACCAATGAGGCGATCGCTCCTCCTCCTCGGAAACGGCGTAAAACTGGTGATGTGAGATCTGTAAAAGATTATACTTTAGAATTTTGGGAAGCCACACAGGCAGCAGCCTCTGTGGAGCATATGTATTTCCGGTCGCTTTTTCGACCCCTTCATACTGGCTAATGACACACTGCAGTTTTCATCC